CTGACTCTACAGATGATCTTGGGCAGCTCCCATGCCCGTTTCCCTCAGCCACAGAGGAGACAGGACACCCCCAGCCCAGTGTTATCATCCTCCATCAGTAATTATCCTCATTTGCTGCCAGACCACCTCAGCATTTCTGCTTCCTCCTCTGGAGGGTAAAAACCCCATCTGCAAACCCATACAAAGCAGTGGAGGTTTTATTTTCCCTGGCGTGTTCAGACAGTATCCTAGATTTTTAGGTAATGGACAAATCCTTCAGGGATGCTACTTCCAGGAGGGGGGGGGAGTGCTTCACTCTCCATTTTTTTCCGTAGAAAACTTGTGCTACCCCACTATAAGCCCTCTGTGTATTTTGGTACTGCAGACACAGAGCACAAAATGGCAAATTCCTGGTCAGTGCAGCCAAGTGGCCAAGAACTGTACTCCCTTTTCCTTGTTCCACAGGCACTTTAGTGGCTTTGGGGGCCAAATTAATGTGAGATCTGTTTTTTCTCAAGGCATCACCATCACCTCAGAAGCAAAACACCACGAGGAGATCATAAATGTGTCCTTGAGGTGTAAAAGAAAGGCAGTGAAAAATATGAGCACAAATAAAAACACTGACTTAGGCTGCACACCCTGAATATCAATCTGTTTTCCAAAACAGTGTCTTTCCTTTAAGGCTGAAGGATGTATTGCTTTATACATAATGTTGACCTGACACTGACTGGTAAAAGTAATCATAACTCGGGGGTTATTCTCTTCCGCAGGATGTTTAAATAAAAAATAATAATAATGAAGAGAAACCATTGGGAGTTTTCCCAGGGGAAATCCCACCACTTTGGCAGGTGAGATTCACACTCAGGTTGTGCACTTGAATTTTCTGGGCCTGCTGAGACCCAGCAGTTCAGGCACTGGGAGCCAGTGGCCACATCCACCCCTCCTGGAATAGCCAAAGGTGAGTTGGAGCTCAGGTTCTCCAAGCCAAAACTGACTCCAAGTCAATTTTGTTGGCACACTCTGATGTTTCCCAGCTTGGAGAATCCTTGTTCCCTCCCAGACCAAATCCCAAGCCAGAGGCTGCTTATCAGTGATGTGAGACATCAACTGTTGGGGCTCAAACCCTGAGAAAACACGGTGTGTGACTGCTGGGTGTCTCATCCCTGCACTGTCCTGAGAGTCAAGAAGGCTTAAATCACTTGATCCAAAGACTCTGGCTGAGAAAAACAAAACAGACCGGACAGACTTCCCCTCTTTTGCTGGGCTGTTGTGTTAGACCAGCTAAAAAAAAAATCACCAAGGTTTCCCCCTTTTAAGACATACTTTGCTTGAGGTTGGCTTTATTATGATTTTTCACACAGAACTTCGCTAGGAGCATGTTATTTGGCTGCAATCAAGCATCTGAAAGCCCAGCATGCCAAAATCCAAACTGCCCCTGCAACCCAATCCCCCCTCCCTTTGTGCCTATGCATCACCACACAGGCTTTTACGGTCCTCCTAGGGTTGGAGAAGGGGAAGTATCAGACAGGCTTAATGGCAAATTAATCATCATTATCATAATAGGCCCCGTCCATAACACACACATTCCAAATTACAGCGAGGGCTGTCCTGCAGCCACTGCTCCTGACTTATTTTATTCATGAGCCCTGGCACGGGGAGAGCCAGGGAGCACAAAGCAGAGAATTCCTCGGCCAAATCCTAAAAACCCGGGGCTCCTGCAAACTCCACGTGGACGGGAGCATTGCCCTCTCCAGCAGCTCGGGATTTCTCCCCCAGGGAGGTGAAAGAAACCTCGAAATGCTGAATTCCCTGCCCGAATTTACGTCTGTGTGAGGCAGAGGCTGGGAGAGCTCTCTGCAGGCGAGGAGTGGAGAGGGAAGGCACTGGAGTTTTGGTTTTTTTTTTTATTTTTTTATTCCTGCTTTTCTCACAGGATGAAAACTGCCTGGCCTAGCAAACTGTGCCAGAGCCTGCCTCGAGTTTCTGTGTCCCCAGCATTCATTAGTGATTACATGCCCCCCGAACACCTGCGAGAGCAGCTCATAAAGCCCGCATTCATGGGCCCTGGCAGCACCAGCATGGGAACTGCAGGCTACAGGGCGGCAGTCATTGTATCTCCAGATAAAAAACATTCTCTTACCCAGCCCTCTGAAAATAGAAGCTGGCTGCGATTTCGCTTCGGCACCACAGGGTATTTAAAAAGAAAAAAAAAAAAATAAATAAAATAAAATAAAGAGGGGTTACTTCACCTCGAGCCCTTTTAAAGTCAGTTAAGTGCGTGGCTGTGGTGCTGTTGGGAGCCCTCTGTTATACAGCAGGGGGAAATCATGGGGTCCCAAACTGTTTGCTTGCTGGAGCATCTGGCAACGGTGCCATTTCTTCCCTCACACTTCCCATTTCTTTCCCCCCCTAAAGCTGCTCCTGCCCATGGCAGCTCTGACAGGGTGGTCAGCAGTGCAAGGTGCAGAAAGAAAGGCACTGGTTCCAGTGGTCCCACTGGAAATATCAAAAGACTTAAAGAAAATAAAAAGGTTGTTAAAAAGAAAAAAAAAAAGGCACCTGCGATGCTTAAATAAATGCACACCTGAAATGTTAGATCACAATGGTGCCTCACATCCATCCGTGTGCTGGGATGGGCTGCAGGGGCTGTGGGTTGATGCTGTCAAAATGTGCCCCCCCAGGGGTGGGCTGAGGGCCAAAGGTGCTCCCTGGAGGAGAGAGGTCCGTGTCCCACCTACCCCTGCACAGACACATCTTGCTGGCCATGCAGGGAGTGTTACTGCCACAGAGAGAGGGAGCCTGTATGTCCACAGTTAGCTGAGATCCTGTAGAGAACCCTAATTGTGAGGAACTGGAGAGTCTACGCCTTCAAAAGGTAGGTCTCAGTTGTGTTTGGGAGTCAAGAAAGCAGGACAGCAAAAGGGACCCGAAGTCGTTTCAGGAGTGACACAGCACAGGGTCAGAGAGGACGGCTGCTGGCACAGAGACCTGGGATGAACACAGGGACCTCACTGCCACCTCCCAGGAGGGGTTTGGGGTGATGGCTGTGGTGCTGTAAGTGCAGGAGAAGGTGCTTTTATCCCCCACGAAGGGATCTGAACACACTGTGTGCTGTACACACGACCCAGCCCCAGGGTGCAGACTCCGTATGAAAAGCCCCTTCTTAGTCTCCTATGCTGGGCCCCCCCTGAAGAGAAATGAGGATGGAGAATGCTTCAGTGCAGCCTTTGCCACGAGCCATCCCAACCTGCTCACTGCTCCAGTCCTCACAGGGCAAAGCACTCCAGGAGCTGGGAGAGGAACTCTGCGGGAATAACTTTATTTGCTGCTGGCACGCAGCGAACTCGGGGGAGAGGGGGAAGCTGCCCCAAAGGGTTCGTGGCACTGCCCAAAGCTGCAAAAAGAGCAGCAGAAGTGACTGCAAGGGACACCTGGAGCCTTGCTGGGTCGGGAGGGTGGAGCTGGGGTCTTGTATCCCTGCTTATTGCACCAGAACACTGCAGTGCAATGGGAAGATGACTCAGTAGAGATAACAAACCCGATGGCAACATCTTTTGGGTGTGAACACGCCTCTGCTGGGTTATCCAGCTCAGAGCCCTCTGTGATGGCACAGCTTTCCAGACCAGCCCCTGCCCAGGGTAAACCCTAAAGCTGCCACAGTTCTCAGCCCGATTCCCACGGACTCAGAGCCTCTTTTATTAACACAAAGATGCCACCTGAACAAAATGCAGTGCCAAAAGCCAGGGGGATCCAATCAAGAAGCCCTTCTGTGCCGAGTCCCAGGCTGACAGGAGATATTTTAACATTCATGATTCTCGAGGATACATTGAAAACAACTGCATTTTTAAAAACCTGTTCAAAGATTCGCTTGACACTGATTTCCAGAGCAGCCAGCCCAGGGTTCACCTCATCTAAATTTTATTACCTTAAAAAATTAAATGTCTAGTCTGAAGTAGTTATTTAAAACTCCCTCTCTAGTCAGTGGAGAGGCATCACTACCTCCAGAGGGTTGTTTCTCCCACCCTAAATCCTCCTAACATAGGATTATAGCAGGAGGCAGCAACAGTTAGGCAGTGAGAACGTGTCAGGACCACTGCAGATAAATGATTATTGAAGAGGAGCACCAGAGGGTTGCAGAGAGGGCAGAAAAGCTGATTTTGCACCTCAAAAGGGAGGGGAAAAGCAGAAAGAAAGCCATGCAGATGAAGCCCCCCATACCTTTCCAGAAGGTGAGCTCGGCACAGCCGCGGAGGAGCTGCTGTCGGAGTCAGGGTGACTCTGTCGTGCACCTGCCTCTGCCCACACTGACACTCTGTGGGCCACCCACAGACCATCCCAGCCCTGAAAGTCTGCTCTGCACATTCCTAAGAGCCTACAGGTTGTGGTGAGCGTGTTCCTGCCCAGAGCAACCCTCCCTGCACAGCAGGAAACATCAGCCTCTGGTGTCACCTTCGCTTCAACACTGTCCTTGGGTCGCCAAGGCTTGGCCATTGGGTTGTGCCTGCCAGCACAGGAGGACCTCAAGAAGAGGCACTGCAGGGCTGGGAAGCTGTGGGAGGATGCCAAGCACACTGACCTGAGGTCCTTTTGCAGAGAGGGAGGAAGAATCCAAGAGCTCCAGCCACAGAGGTGGAGACTGACATCTCTGAGATCAGTGGATTGTATCCTACATCCCCAGCTGCCTCAAAATTCTACCATTCCCATCCTCTTGCCATTCGAGGAAGTGAAGAAAATAACATCTTCTTTTAAAGAAGGAAAAAAGGAAAATATGCAGCAAAGTCTCCTGTGTGTGTTTTTGACTTAGTAATATCTGTAGCCAATTTTCCCAAGAGACACAAACAAACACATGCCGAACCAGAATATCAATGAGGTCTTTTTTAGAGCAGGCACATTAAAATGCAAAACAGGAGATAATGAGATAAAGCAGCAAGTTACAGGTTTCTTAATTCCAGATTTTTAAAGCCTGTGAAGTTGCTTGAGGAAGAGGGAGCTGAGTTAAATCTAGTGGAGGGCTTGGCTGCAGGGCAGCTCGTGAGGCTGAAAGACTAAGGGTGGAAAAGAGGAGCACAGAGAGGGGGAGAGATCAGGGACCCCGAGGGATGTAGGTAAGAGCATTTCTTAACCGTGAGGTTGAATCCTCCTCTGAGGGCTGCCACTCTGCACCTGCATGCCCCGGATTTGGAGGGGCAGATGCAGCACAGGGACTGGGGAAGGGAGAGGAGAGGCCAGGGGTCGGTTTGGTTGTGGTTCAAGGCAAAGCAAGCAGCTGAACCTTCACATCCCACATCTCCCTGTGATGATCCAGCCTCTGACCATTGGTCCTCGCTTTAACACAAGCCACAGCACGTAAAAAGCTGGCAGAGGAGAGGACACAAGCTCTGCCTCCCCCCCCCCCCGAAGGGGTCAGAGCATCCTCCTGCACGTACAGCCCGGGGTGGTGGGTGAATTCAGGCTCTGGGACGAGCCCGTGCTCAGCTGACAGCCTTGCTGCAGCCTCCGAGGCTTTTCTGGGCTCAATACAGCCATGCTGAGAGGCAGAAAGGTGGTTTTGTTCCTCCTTTCAGGGCTCCAGCCCCGCTGAATAACAGCTCCATGTTTTCCCACCCGTCTGCCTGCCCCTGCACTCCCGCAGCCCCCGTAGGTGACACTGGAAAATTCGGGGTCACTTTGAGGAGGTGACATTTCGGATACCGGTGCCAAAAAGATCATGAAAGGAAAATTAAAAGAATGAATGAATGAGAGGAAATGGAGAGAGGGGGGAAAGTACAAGAAAGAGCCATTATTTAACCAGACCTGGCCAAGGGTAAAGGTTTTAATTCTTTCCAAGTGCCATATGTGGTTGCCTGTGGGGGAAAGGCAAAGCCATATTTATCTGACTGAACCAATAATTCATATCTCTTTCAGAAGCCGACTTTGGTGGACTGTAGATCTACAGCTGTTCCTAGTCTAGGTCCAGACTTTCCCGGTGGGAATCACTGTAGCAACACGTCTGACTTATAGGATTCATATGGAGGGGGATAGGAGACCCAGAACTGTAAATTCAAACCGTGTGTACGTTACTTCTATGTCTTCAATTCAAAAGCATTTAGGGCTTTTCAAAACAGCCCTTTCACTACAGGAAAACTCCCCCACACTCACAATTTAAAGGAAACAGATCTTTCATGTTTACCCTTCCTGTTTCTTGTAGGAGGTCTCGAAATAAAGGTAAGAATGCAAAGCCGTTTTATATTTTTCCAATAAAATTCAGAGCAGTTGCCCTGGTGCTGTGTGTGGAGGGGGATGGTGGATGTGTTACATGCTGCTGGGGAATAAATCATGGTGTCGTGATTAAACAAAGAAGGCTCAAGAAATACTTTGACTTCCCCTCATTTTGCTAAAGATTAGTCAGGATTGTGTTCAGTCTGAGGTTTGCTTTGCAACACACACGTCCCTCAAAGCTCATGGGCAATGCAAGGGTGACAAGAGTATTTGTTGGGGGCTCAGCTCATTAAAGTTAATGGAGATCTAATGTCTTTTAACAGCAGAAACTTTGGTATGTTCTTCTACCTCCTAAGGGAACACACACCTTTCTCTCTGGGGATTCTCAGAGCTTGTGTCACTGGTGGTCACAGGGAGCTGAACAGGACTCTGTCACTCCCCACTTCTTCATAAACTGACCCAGGACCAGGGGAGGCCCCAACCCAAACACAGAGACAGCAAAAGAGATCCTCATCCAAACCCCATGGAGCTGACAGTCCACAGGCCAGCTCAGAAAATGGCAGAGAGGACCATGAACCAAGAGGTTTTCCCCTCCCAGATCTGCAGCTGAATCTGTGGCAGAGCCCTACGATCCCTGACTATGGATACCACCCTCCCCAGGGAGAAAACAGTTCTGCCAAAGCACAAGTCTGGAGTAAAACTGACTTTTGTAACAGCTTTTATCCTCTCATTGATCACAGGAGCAAACCAGGTGCCTCACAGCTACTGCAGGAGTCTGAATTAGCCACAGAAACACAGGATGGTTTGGATTGGAAGAGAACTAAAAGCTCTTCTCATTCCACCCCTGCCGTGGGCAGGGACACCTTCCACTATCCCAGGCTGCTCACAGCCCCATCCAGCCTGCCCTTGGACACTTCCAGGGATGGGGCAGCCACAGCTTCTCTGGGCAACTTGTTCTAGTCCCTCACCACACTTACAATAAAGAATTTCTTCCTAATAACTAGTCTAACCTGCACTGTTCTAGCCCAAAGCCATTCCCCCTTATCCTGTCCCTCCAGGTCCTTGTCCAAAATCCCTCTCCAGCTCTCTTGGAGCCCCTTTAGGCACTAGAAGAGACTCTAAGGTCTCCCTGGAGCCTTCTCTTCTCCAGGCTGGGCACCTTCAGCTCTCTCAGCCTGTCTCCATAGAAGAGGTGTTCCAGCCCTGGCAGCATCATTGATAAGTCTTCCCAAGCCTGGCTTAAGCACCCACTTCCCTCTCTCCATCCTTCAGGTGGGTGCTGGGAGGGTAAGTGGTTAAGTTCTGTTTCCTGCACCATCCTTGGGGTTCCTGCACTGGAAGGTGCAGGAGGGAAGCTGCTGTCACTGCTGTGAGCCCTGTGCTGCTGTGCATCCTGTGCATCTGATCCCATTTCTGTTTGCTTTCTGTCTCTTTGCCTGTCTCATGTATTATGTATGATTGCCAGGGAAGGTCTCGCTGCTCACTACGCCAAGGAAAATAAAGAGTTTTGAACTCTGAGTTCAGATGTGCTCTGTGTGTGTCAGAAAAGAATCACTGCTGGGCTGTTTACCAGCCCAGAGCCTCAACACAACAGAAACCACCCCAAACCAGGTGTTCCACCTTCCTTTTACACCACTGAAGGCTTCAGCCTGTCTTCTCATTCCCTCCTGCCCTTCCCCTTGCTGAATCCTCCTGCTCAGGGGCTCTCCCCCACTTCACTACAAACCAAATAAACATAAGATCAATAAGGATGGAGACAACTCCACAAATTCCACAATGCAAACCTGAAGTCAGACACCTTGCAGAACAACAGAGAGAAATTGGTTTTCCCCTTCTCCTCACACATGAGCTGGTAGGATTTTTTTCTCCACTGCACTCTGGAGCACAAAAGATTGGCCAGAGTTAGGACAATTTAGTATCTGGGAGCACCCAGGTAGCTGTCAAGGCTGAGGTTCATGTTAGGGGAGTTTTTAAACCTGAAGGAACCTGCATTGCAGTTCTGATCCAGATGTCAAATCTCTGCTTCCTGTAACATCAGTTGCCTGCAGTTTTTGGCCTGGAGAAACATGGGGTTTACTCAAAACCATATGATAGTGGCTGCTGTACTGCTGGAACCAAATGTTAAAAAATGTAACATGTTGGGGATGATGTAAATGCATTTTAACAGGGGCATGGAACTCATAACTGCAACACACTCAGCCCAAATCCTCACTTTGTCTGAGCAGGGCTAACTTCATCAGCTCAGGGAGCAGGCAGGACTTGGAAGGGTCTATAACATTTTGGCTGCAGCTATCCTAGCCATGGAAGAACATTTTCTTTAACTGATTCTAGGCCCTCCCTGGGAAAATATCAATAAGGAGCTGCTACTTAATACTAATAACTCTTTTTATTTCCTCTCATCAAGGGTCTGCTCAGATGCTCAGTCTCAGATGAGTGCTGGGCAACATTTCAGGACTCTCTCTCCACCATCAGTAGAGCCAAAATCTGGTGGTACTGTTGGCCCAGGGGGTAGAGGAGGGGGATCCTCACTTTTCACTACATTTTTGGCCCAGCGCCCCTCCGAGAGAAATGTCCCGTTACATTTTCTGAGGGAGGTTTTCATCGAGAACACAGGCACTTCCAGCCCTGTTCTCTGAGCCTTTATTGGTAAATTGGAGCAGACAGAAAACTGCTTCTTGCTGAATTTCCCTGGCTGAGGTGTCATGTTGTGCCGGGTGATAGATGGGACGGGGAGTGACAAGTTGCAGCAATTACCAGATCAGCGCTGGCTCCTTGCGAAGGAGGCAGCTCCCTGCAACAGCAGGGCTGGCTGCCTGTTGTGGGAAGGGTGGGGGAGGAAAAACTGAACCCAGTCAGAGCTGCTAACAGCAGTTCTTAGCACCAGCACCGAGCTGCAGGTCTTGGTGGACCACACGCACGATCTCCTGGGATCAAATTGTCTGTGAGAGGTAAGAGCCAAAAAAGACCTAACGACACCATGGACCTGTATTTAACACCAGTCTGGAGGCCTGTTTGAGAATATGTGCCCACCTCAAGAAAAACAAGCATGTGGGCAACACACTTTGTCTGCCTGCTCTGGTAGGGCTGGTTTCAGTACAAGCACCAGCACTCGTGTGTGGCTCACACCTCACCCAAGCCAAGAATGGGGAGCCACCCCTCAAAACACTCAGGCAGTGCCTAGAAACCCTCAGCAGCTGCTGTAGATATCTCTGTCCATCCTTCCCTCTCAGTTTTTCTGTTCAACACTATATTTGCTAAATATATTCCAGCGATATTTTACCCATTTTGGGTCCAGAGCTTGGAGACCTCCAAGGGTCTCCTCCTTCTCCAGCAATCTGACAAACACAACGCTGGGCAGAAAGGTAGGAAAGTATGTTTGTGTCTATCACAGAGGAGGGGATTGCCTCCAGCTCCTGGGCTGTGCATCCCCATCACACAGAGCACAGGGGGATTTGCTCCGAGTGACTCCACAAGTGCAGTTGGTGTCAGCCCTCCCTGGGGCAGCTCCAGCAGCTTGGGAAAGTGGGCACAACACAGTGAGACAACAGTTGCACCACCTGAAGTAGGAAAGGTGTGCAGATGTACCCCATCTCTTCAAGAAGCCTCCCTGAGCTCTTCACAGGACGAGTCTCCCTGGGGTGAATCCCCTCCCTGTGACACGGGGCTTGCAGGGACTTGCAGGCACCAGGTTCACCTCCCCAGCAGCAATCCTGGTTATCCCACCTCCATTTCCACCTTGGAATACACTGGTGCTGCTTCCCCTTGCTGTGCAAAGCCCCCTGGAGATCAGCAGCTGACAAGTGTTAAATCCTATTTCTATGGAGCAGGGAAGCAAATCACATCACCCAGCACCTCTCCCTCACGATGAACCCAGAGGGAGGCCCCCTGAAGTCCCCATGGAGGGTTTTAGACTGGTGTCACTGGGCATACTGGACCCACAAGGACCAGCTCAGACTTTGCTGACCCCCAAACACAGCAGTTCACACCAAGCTGGGCCAGCCCTGCATCAGTACCATCTCCTTTCTGGCTTGTAGGGACCCCCTCCTCACTTATCCCAGGTCTGCTGCCCCAAAATCAAGCTGCAAATTAAAAAAAAAAAATAATAATAGGGCTTAAATTATTTCCTTTCTCTCTGTGGGCTCTGTTATTCCCCAACCCCCCTCCAGGACTGGCCCTGGAAGTGGGTTTTGCCTTTTCTCAGGTGATGGGGGAGGGATCTGTGGACCCAGAGGCCCCAAATCCTTCTCTGACTTCGCTGCCTGAAGCACAGACCTCTCAGAAAACACAGATGAAAGGGAAGCTGGGGGAGGGCTCCAGACTGGGAGAAACAACCCTCGTGGCAGGTCCTTGGGCAGGGGTCAGGCTGCAGGACACAGAGGAGATATATTAAAAGGGGAAGCTGAAGGAATCTAAATAATCAGGCTCCCCACTGGACAGTGCCTTGACAAGAGGAGATGCTGTGAGAGCCAAGGCAAACTGACTCACACAGAGGGGCAAGAAAGGAAAACACCTTCTCCAAGGGGCTGGGGCTGGGGATGGAGCAGGAGACCTGAGAGGCAAGGGGGGGAGGGCTGGGATCTGTGAGGAAATTAAATAATAGCCTGGAATTCCCAGGTGAAGAACAATGGAATTGAAAACAGAAAGGCCCCCGAGAGACAAACGAATCAGGACTGAGGGGCAAAACACTGAGAGAGAGAGATCTGGGAGTGAATTCTGCCCCCCTGCCCTGTCCTGCCATCCCACCTGGGTACACCATGCTGGAGGACACAGTCCTGCCAGGCACCCAGCAGCACCAGGACTGAGGTTAAGTGCCTACCCTGCAAGTCCTTACAACCTAAACCAGCACAGCCACCTGAAAAATACCAGTTATCCCCATTTTTCAGCTCCGGATCTGAGGCACAGAGAGATTAAACCCAATTCTCATACCCTGAAAGGCTCTTTTATGATACAGTGTTCCTCTAAAAGGGCTTTTAAGATGGTGTAAAATGTCCCTGCTTTCACTGGGGACTCAGACACCCCATCAAACCCCACTGTATCACCCCAGCCTGAGTCCCTGGATGGTTATTTCAGGTGCCTCAGCTGAGCTGCAGCAACAGTTAAGCCATAAATATGCACTTCCCAGGTAAAAGCATAAATCCTGGGTTTGTGCACGGGCCTATGGGGAATTTTCAGCAAGGTAAGGAATTCAGTGGATGTTTGGGAAACCCAGGGAAGAACCCTGAAGGTGCAGGCCATTCAGGAGGCACATTTCATGGAATAGCCATTAGGAAACAAGTTGGGAAACAGGGATCTGTGGAACAGCTTCAGTAAACTTCTGACACAGGTGTTATGAACTGATGGAGCCTCGTTGACTGTGACAGATGTGTTTTGATTGAGGACATGGTCCTCAGGGGGTGGGAAATTATTGACTTGGAACCAAACAACAGATTTTTTTTTTTTCTGGGTTGGTTTGTTGGTTTTTTTTTTTTGGCAATTCTGTTGTGTTTTAAAAATTCATGGACAAGCCCTGAAAGCACTTTACCAATAAGCATTAATATTCCCAGAGGAGAAACTGAGGCTTAGGGAGTGGGAGTTACTGCACCATAAAGTGACACGATGCAAGAGCAAGGCAAAGAACCTGAAGAGCTTCCACAGGGTTTCCTGAAGAGCTTCCATGGTTTTTTTCTTGTTCTGGTCCCCACAATATCCAACAATGCCCCTCTGGCACCTCATTGCATTAATATTGAGCCTACCTTGGTAAATGCCCTACAAATGGAATGAACCATCAGGGCTTCCTGCCCCACATTCTGCAGAAAGCAGAGATGCAGAT